CTTTGAGCCCCATCAATAATCTCTGTAGTGGTGAGGAACCTCATGGAAAATCTTGGCAATTGATTTATTTATTCTGTGAAACTGGAATCTGGTGATAGTAAAAAAAATGTTGACTTGTGTAGCAGCTGGGGAGGCAGCTTGGTTATATTTTATAATCTGGCTGTTTTCACTGGCTTGAAAGAAGCTGTGAGCTGATGGAAACACACAAAAAAAACAGGCCGGAACCATAACTGGCAGTAAGAAAAGTGCAGAAGTCATCCATTATGAAAATGTATTGGTCTTCTTTAGCATCAGCTCTGAATATTGTCTCAATTTCTCTGCATTTTCAGAGGGAATAGAGCTGATCCAGAGAGTATAGTAGCCATTCCTAACAAGAGGTCTGAAACTTCAGTACAGTTATACTGGATTTTGTTTTTGGATTTTCAGCACAAAGGGTTGCTTCCAAACCTAATAAGGACATTTAAAGGCTTTTTGTTTTAGTGGCCTTTGACTTGCACCACTTGGGGCAAACTTTCTGCACCCTGGTGCATGTATGGAATTATTTTCTTTTTCTACTAGTTTAATGGAAAACATTCACTATATTTAAATATACTTTCTGGAGATTTTTCACCCTAATAACTTTTTTCTCTTTAAAAGTAATTATTGAAGAGCAGAGTATGCACTGTTTTTATGAATATCTGCCTTTAGAAACTTGGAAGTTATATGTTCAGAGGAGAAAAAACAAGTTAAGAATGAGAGGTCTAATTTAGTTCTAAAATTTGGACTGATACATGAGGGTAATGTAAGGAGCAAACAAACCAAACCCACCCAAAAAACCCTACTTAGAAAAGTTTGCTTGAAGCAAAATAACATTTTCACTCTTTTTTGTTGGAGTACTTGGCTGAAAGGAAACTGCAAGTAGAGAGAATGTAAAGCACTTGAAATATTTTATGGTTAATCTTCATAAAACACATCTACAGAAATTTTGCTTGACATAGGAAAAATATTTGGTTCTTGTCATTCCTATAAATTACTTTTTCAGAAACTGCAATACTGATAGTTGCCTGAAACCAAGGGCTTTGAAATTACCACAGAGAAATTGCTGTGGAAAGGATTCATATATGCTTTTCTTTTTTATCTGTCTGTGCATACACATTTAGATGTATATCTGAGCATTTCTGTAGAAGGTGTTCCACTCCATATATTGGTGGTGATTGGTGGTTGAGGATGAGCCATCATTAGCATTCTTGTTAAATGTGATTTTCAGGGTATCCTTTATTATCCTAAGAACCTAAGAGTTGACTTTTAAAAAATTTTCTGTGGTTTAACAGTCTGTTCTGGCGGGTAGGCTATAATTGAATTGATAAATGTTAAGTTTCCCTGTTGAAGAAAAGATGGGAGGAATAAATTTAAGTATTTATTTGGTAAGTGTCTATTGAAATAGAAACTTGGATGTGAAACTAGAGTGCCTTCCATTTCTTTTCAAAATAGGTATAAAAATGAATGCCTGGTCCTCCAAGTGCATGGCAAGAGATCATTGCTCATTGATCATCATAGTCCGAGCTCACACAGAATATTATGATGAATATAAATTTACCCAGGTAAATGATGACCTGGGTTTGTGAAAATCTGACTGGGAGGAGTTTCATTTTTTCCTGCCAAAGTCAGCAAAAAGCCTTGTTAAGTAACTGTGATTACATATATCTCTTGGCAGTCATGAATTTATATTCACTAGTTTTTTTATCACTGCTAAATAGGTTTGTTTCAAATTATTTACAGTTTTAAAAGGCATTTTTGGCACTAACATTTACCATGTCAAACTAATTGTAAAGAGGATTTATGGGGAAAGAGTTTATTTACTGCCTTTTCTGTCTGTACAGCTGCCAGAGACATGGTAGTAAACTTTGAGGATTTTTCTGAGCTCATGTTGCAATAAAGCTATCATTTTATTACAAGACCAGGGGTAATATAGAGTCTGCTATAAAATCAAGAAACTCTACAGATTAAAGAATAAATTCACAGTTGAGCAAGAGGTGTTATGATATAGTTTCCAGAGCAACTCTTTTAGGTGCAAGTCCAGCCTCTTATTTGAGATTTAGAGTGACTTTCGTACTCAGCCTTTTCACCACAGTTCACAGACACTCATTACTCTCGCTCTTATTCCTGACCCCTGGAGCCACGTGTTTATACAGCCACTCTTCTGCCAGTGATTGAAGTTTTTCTTAAGGAGGCTTATCGTCAATACTAACTTTGGTGTTCCAAGGTAAGGATTTTCTGTAGCAAGCAGCAGAGAGAGGACCTACATCTGGTGTCTGTAGTTTCATTGTAGTGAAGTGCAGAGTTGGCTGGCTGTAAACAAAAGCTTTTTTCTGGTGAGCACAGTGCAATGAATTTATGTATTGACTTCTTCAAGTAGTTGGACACCTTCCATTTGATAGAAGACCATGATAGAATTGCAGTCAAGATCCTTGTGTCTCAAAGTAAATGTCCTCTACAAAGGATTAGGAACTTCAGTTCTTCCATGGTATGCAAAGGACCAGGAATTGATCATAAAAGCCAACTGTTTAAGAAGCCTTTGGTTTTCTGATTTTAGATTGATGGTTTTGTCTATTGCTTTGACAGAGAGAGAAAATTCAGAAAAGCAAACAGAGATCAGAAGCTGAGGAAAATGTTTGCTCAGACAAACTTTTGTTGTTTTCTAACTCCTAGTCAGTAATTTTATTATGTAGCTAATTAGATTAAAATATGAAAAAATATTATTAAAATTATTCACAGTACTCTTACACAGCTCAGATGAGTCTTATGCAGGCTTTTCATCCTAAAGGAAGTTGGGTGATCAAGTAATATGGATTAGCTGAGAGATTTGTCTGCTGAAGTATATTTACAGTATATGTTCATGAACAATAGGGACAAAATATTTAACTGTTGAAAGATCCTGTTTATTTAAATCCTTGGGCTTTGCATTTTATTTGTTCAATGCTTTCTTAATGGAACTGAAGGGTATTTTAGTTGTGGCCTTTATGATGCCCTGTTGTGGCTGAACTACATGAGAATGAGAGACACGGTTCTGACAGCTGCTACAGGAGGTTTGCTTTCTGCTACATGCTGTTAGGCTGTAAATCACACGTCATGTTCCTCCTAACACAATGTTTAGTTGAGTGAAATTCTGTGGCTAGAGAGAAATGAAGTCAGGCTGGATCTCTCATAGCCTTGTCACCTAAGCTGCAGCTTGTATGGTTTAACTGGTGAGTGCAGTATCTTTGTTTATGCATATGACTAGCTGGGTCGTGCAAGTTACATGCCTGATTCATGAATAGAATAAAGAATTGTTACCAACTGACAGAATGGATGATATTGGACACCTGGTCCAACCCACCTGTTCAAAGCACAGTCAACTAGAGCAGATTGCTCAGGACCACTGGAAGAGTCTGGCTCCGTCTTCTTTACTCCTCCTGGCAGATACTCAAGGAGATTTATAAAATCCACCCTAGGCCTTCTCCAGGCTAAGCAACTCCAGCTCACTCAGCTGCTCCCTGTATGACAGATATTCCAGTCCCTAATAATCTTCATGGCTCATCAGTGGAATTGCTCCAGTCTTTATCTTTCTAATGCTGGGGAGCCTGGAGTACCACCCAGAACTTCAGATGTGGCCATGGAAAGATCACTTCCCTAGACCCACTCTCAAGAGACTTCCTAAATAAGTCCTAAAAGTAATCCTTGCAAAACTTCTCATCACCTCTGTTCTTATCTGTGGGATGCATTTGGTGTGTTATTTATGCAGACATAGTGCAAATTCAGTATTTCTGATTCTCCTCTTCTTGTGTGGTTTCCCAGACAAACATTACCAACAGTTTCTTACCTATTTTGAACAGCTGTGTATTTTTGTTGGCTTTGTGACTAAGCTTCTGATGCTTGCATGCTTTCTGCTCAACTTAGTTAGCTACCCTCTGTCTCTGAGTGCCTGCAGTAAATAAGGGTTAATGAGAAAAAATTTTGCTGGATTCTCAATATTTACTTCATGCTTAGGAAAGCAATTTTTAGAACAATGGGTGGTTTGGTTGATTTATCTCCTGGGAAATACACTGTTGCTTTTCATGGACTAGCAGAAAACTCATGTCATGCCTTTCCTCTTTCTTGGTAAAAGGAAAAATCAGGAAGAGGGCCTGAGGATGCTGTCCATTTGGGAATGCTTCTAGAACTTAGTATGCTTTATGGTATTTAGAAGTCAGAATTTATGTAGTCCGATTTGAACCACCAAAATAAGTGTTTCAAATACATAAGAAGTAACATTTATAAAAATAGCTGAAGGTTGTGAAAAACATAAAAGTTTAAGGAGCATTTTAGGGCCCCAGCTTTAAAAGTTCACTTTGCAAACAATGTATTTCTTCATTTTCAAAAGTTGTAACTGTGTGCATGTAACAAATTTTTTTTTGTTACCAGGAATTGGTAAAAATCCTTGTGAAATGGTTCTGTTTCTAGGTATGTTATTGGAATTGGATGATATGGTCTCAAAGAATGACTAAATAACTTGATTCCATTAGAAATATCATAAGGAAAACACAAAATTCATTTTGGGTAAGTGGGCACTTGGTTTTTGAGCCACATTGTGAAAGTGTTCTTAACTGCGACAGAAGAAGCAAAACCCTTTTCTGCTGTGGCCATGCACAGAGAGTTTCTTTATGAAGCAACTTCCTTCTCATCCAGTTTTTATTGTATTTTTATCTGAAGTTACTTATTTTTTTTTCCTCCACCTCTTGAAAATAAGTGTTGATTTCCAATGGAATTGAAGTTCAGAAGTAGTGGTGTATGCTGTCTTCTGCTGATGTGGTGCTACATGTTTCTTATTGATCTCTTTTTTTTTTTTTTTTTTTTTTTTACTAGAAACTCTGCTTTTGTCCCAGTATTTTTCTCAATGGAAAAAAAAAAAAAAGAAAATGGTAGACCTGAGGTTCAGGAATTTTCCATGAGAAGTGCTGGATACCCTCTAAGATGCATAACCCCTGTGTTTGTCATCACTACAGTGCTGCATATGATGCCGTCCTTGACAGAAACGTGGCCATTAAGAAGCTCAGCAGACCATTTCAGAACCAAACTCATGCCAAGCGAGCTTACAGGGAGCTGGTCCTCATGAAGTGTGTGAATCATAAAAATGTAAGTGTTCAGCAGGAGAAATGGTATGTGCATTGCTGTGTTAGAAAGGGAGTTGTTTTGTTGGGATCCTTTTTTAAATGGAAGAAATTAGAAGAAAATTATGCTCAGGGGCTACTCTGTCTGGTACTGCATGCCCACAGGAGAGACTGAGGGTATTCCATGTGTTTGTTCAAAGGCTCTGAGAAACTGGGATTGTTCTAGACTTTCCTGCTTCTTGAACCATCTACTATATATCATTTAGTTAATGTCATAGTTAATGAAAATATTCCTATACTGCACCAAGAGTGTTATTCCAGGGCTGTATGTTAATTTTATCCATTATCTTTTAGAACTATCTGCCTGACACTGTGTCAACTACTCTTTTGTAGTGAAATATGTAGGATTGCCACACTGCATTATAAAGGGAATGTCTCAGGGATTTCATTTTCCTCCACCTCCTAGATTTCCTGCTGCCATACCTGTGTGCCTCTTCCTTTTCATTAGGAGATAATTTTTCAGTTTGCAATGTTTACCTGTCCCTCAGATCTTGCAATGACTCCTTCTCCTTATGCAAAGCATAAATGAACTTAAGAGAATATGATGCAAGGGGAGATTCTACACTTGTTCTCAGTCACATGGTCACATGGAATGAGAAAGGACTGATCCTAAAATGGCAAATTGCAGGACTTGACACTACAGTGTCTTTGACTCACTTCTGGGCAGTGATTTATCCTTACATTCCCACTGTGTTGATCAGGACTATTCCTGTCTCTTCCCCGTTGTCTTGATGGAAGCTACCCTCAGCCAGCCCAATGCATGAGGATTTGAAAATGCAGGGATGAGCGAGAAGTTTTTTTAATGGACTGGAAAGAGCAGAGGGGCAGCAGGAATATCACTAATTTTAAATATAAAATTTTAAACATGGTGCATGACAGCTGCTAACAGCACCACATGGGTTGGGTCAGAGCTTTATTCTGTCTGTACAAAGAAGTGCAGAGGAAGGAGAGGATTGTAAAGGCACCTTTGCAGAGGTAGGATTCAGTCAGAATATGTGGAGTAAAGAGAAAGAATGTTGAACAATTTCTGTTTGAAAACCTGAAGAGGTGATGGAGGTGGGAAGGAGACATTCAGTTGTTGCCTTCATGGCAGCAGCGCTGATGTCGTCTACCCCTGTTACCAGCACAGAGGGAAAACAGGGGAAATCCAGATCTGTGGGGTCACATTGTTTCCTCTATTCTTTTTCACACTTTCTTACCAGTGTCTTTCAGCAGCCCAGCTCGTTTAAAATAAACCAAACAAAAATGCTCACCAAAGAAGAGAAAGAAGAAAGGAGTTGAACTATGCAAGGTGTCTTTGCTCAGGGGTCTCTGTTTCAAAGTGCTTCTAATGAAACTTGTACCACTCACAATGGAATTTGTGTCAGCCAGCATGTGCATGCTTGTGCCCTCAAAGGAATTGAGACCATGTCAGAGAGAAGGAAGGACTACTGTCTGATAAGGTGGTCCTTGGTTATTTGTCCCTTCAAATTAGCATTACTCGTAAATAAGAAAATTCTGGCTGTAGCACAAAGACTGTTGTGCTAGATTGAGCTGAAGTTGATCTTCAAACCTGCAACTTCAAAATTGAGAGGAGTGTCTCACCCTTAGCACTTTTTTCTGTCACTGGTTATCCTTCTTTCAGATGATTTCAAGTGCACCTAAAAGAAATCTGAGAGACCTGTGGTATTTTGTTTTGAATGCTACTGATTTTTTACAGATCCATAAAGTGAGAAGTATTAATATAAATAGAGCAGTGAAAAAACAGTTTATTCTTTAACACAGTTCAGAACAGATTCAACTGATTATGTATATCACTTCTCTTTACTCTTTTGTCTTACTTTGCTTTTCAGATTATAAGTTTATTAAATGTCTTCACACCACAGAAATCTCTGGAGGAGTTCCAGGATGTGTAAGTAACAGGGACAGTAATTAAACTAAAGCTTTAGGGATGTGTGGGGCATTATGGCTTACCTTGATTGCAAAAACTCAGCAAAATACAAAGATTGTAGCCTCCTCTAAAAAAGATAATGTGAGTCTAGTGGGTAGAAAAATATTCTGAATTCTCATATTGGGAGCTCTTTTGACAATTTAAGGTGAAAAATCACAGTTTCATATTTGTGGTGTAATGTTATTTGCCTGGGGAAGTAGGGGTAGGTGTAGAAGACAATCAGCATCTCTGTTGGAACCTTACCCTGCTGGACAACCACTACTGTGCCTAGTACAAACCTGCTGTGAATTAAATTTTAAGTATTCTCTATTTTATATTGTTGCTCTCCTTTTATCTTTCTGTCTTTGATATATTCTGTATACATTGCATGGAAATATGTTCCTATTCTGTAGTCTGATACCAGGAGTAACCAATTAATTGTAAAGAGAATTTTGTGAAGTCATGCAAGCTGAGGAGGATTTTTGAAGGCATTTTGCATGGGGATGCATATTTTACCCTCTCAGACACCTCTGTTTCTCTCAGATTCCTGCGTGTACTGTGGTAGCAATCCTTGCTGTACTTGAAGGCCAAGCAGTTAAATAATCTGGTGCTTGTGGGTCTTTTGGGTTTAGTGCATTTCTGTGTGGTGCTGCCTGATTGCCCATGTAGGGTATAGTCTCTGTCAGGGGGAATGCATGAAGAAGGGGCAAATAATCCACCAGTTTTCCTGGTATGCTGAAAGAGTGGTGTCTCAGCAGTGAGATAAACCTGAATTCTAAAGACACCACCATTATGCTGTGGTTAGTGGGCCCAGTCTCCAGCTGTGTTACTCCCAGTCATCAGAAATAGAGTGAGTTTTAAAGCAATAAAAGGTATTGTTACTTATTTGAGATGATACTGTGATTTGCCTTCAACACAAAAAATAACCCTGTGACTTTGGTTTTCCATTCAGCTACCTGGTAATGGAATTAATGGATGCCAACCTGTGCCAGGTCATTCAGATGGAGCTGGACCATGAGCGAATGTCTTACCTTCTGTACCAAATGCTCTGTGGAATCAAGCATCTTCACTCTGCAGGGATTATTCACAGGGTAAGGGGCCTTTGGCTTAAAACTTAAGGCAGCATATGAAATGATCAAGACTTGAAATGTCACTTGGGTCTCTTGTGTACTGTGAATCAAAGCTCTGTGTCCCAGTGCAATGAATAAAAGTCATAAAAGCCACAGACAGAGGTCAGGGGATATAGAATTGGCATTTGCCATCATTTACATGTGCTGAAGCAATTGAAAAGACTTAAAATAGGTCCTTTCATTTTGCTTTTTCCACATCAGTGCTGTGCCTGGTAAGGATGTGGTACCTGGCTAGGGATGTGTGATAGTCGAGAGCAGGGGGAATCAGGTCATGTCACTGTGAGCAGGAATTCCCAGTGGATTGAAAATACCCTGGGACTTAACTTCTTTATTGAAAAGTGCTTTCACTAATTTGGGATTTCCACACTGGGGGGGGGGGGGGAAAAGTTTCCCTAAAGAAAAGAAAGGCTGATAAAGTGGGTCACAAAGTGCATGTTGTTCTACAAAGTTCTCCTTTCCAGGCATGTGATGTATTTAGCAGAGGGTTATAGATTTGGCTACCAGATAGTCATCCAGCAAAGGATGAGCTGAATTATTATAAATGAAGCATTAGGGTATCTCTACATGTGCAGTTGGAATATCTCTATCAGGTTCACAGCATTAAGAGAAAATAATCTAATCAAAACAGCACTGAGATACTAATCCTAGTAAATGCAATTAATTTAACACCAATAGGCTTCTGTTAACCAGGTAAAGCCCAGTATTCTGAGGTAAAACAACTTCCAGAACAGTTTGCTAGAGAAGCAATAGCAAGGGTTTGCTGTATACTTACAAGAATTTCTGATAGTAACCGGGTTAGAAGAGGGAAAGAGTATTTGAAGGGTGGCCTAAAGTATCTGTCCGTATCATAGCTGTGCCTGGCTTTATAAAGGACAGTCACATGGGGTTTTTTCACTCTCTTTTGCAGGATTTAAAACCAAGTAACATTGTAGTAAAATCTGACTGCACGTTGAAGATCCTGGATTTTGGACTGGCCAGGACTGCAGGCACTAGCTTCATGATGACCCCGTATGTGGTGACACGTTACTACAGAGCACCAGAGGTCATCCTAGGAATGGGCTACAAGGAGAACGGTAGGGCTGCAGTGCCACTGCACCAGGTCCCCTCGAGGGCAAGCTCTGCTTCACCATTGTAAGGGAGACCCAAAGGAGGGACAGGAAATGTAATGGGAAAAGATGGGAAATGACACCTGGAGTTAGAGCAGCTCCTCGCTGTTGTGAACTTCAGCTACAGAATGTATTTGGGATGCATTGCTGGTGAATTTATCAGTGGGGGATTGCAGAGTAACAGGAAACTTATTCTTAGTTATGTTTGAAGTTCCAACTACAGTCAACTCATTTTGACCAGGGCTTTCATCTTTGTGTTCTGTGGCTGTGAAATAATGTGGGAACCACTGGAATTGCTGAACTAGTGACGTGCTCTAAATTTGAGTCTGGATCTCTGAATTGTTTGAAGGAACAAGAAGTACAAGCTGAAATAGAAAATCCTAGCCAGCATTTCTCTAAATCCAGAGCTAGATCTGAATTTCAGGAATTAATTCCTTCTTCACGATAAATTTAACAAAGTCCCAGGTTTTTCTGACAGGTTTCATCCTGTCAAGATCTAGGTATAAATTTTGCAGTTTGAGTTTGGTTTTTTTAATGGCAAGTACAGTTGCAGAGAAGAGGAAAAAGCTGAAAATAATAATAATAAAAAAACCCCAACTAAACAAAACATAAAATTTATATGTAATCTCCCTAGAAGTAAATAGGATATTCCTCTGAATAGTCTGAGAAAGATCTTGGTTGTTGGAAATATTGAAAAAAGCAGGTGCGGGTGTTTGCTATAGAGAAGCAGATAAGGAAAACCTCAAATTTTGCAGAAGATGAGGGGAGAACTTTTTAAATTGTTCTCATTTTGTAACAAAACTGAGAATTGCATCTGAGTGCCAGGTAGACCAGGCAGGAAATGAAGGAATATTCTATGGCTCAGATTTTGCTGTCAAAGGTATAATTTGTCTGTTTGAGGAAATTTTTTGATGGCAAATACAGCAAATGTGACAAGACCAGGAAATTATTAAAAGTGTCCTACTTAATTTATGTTGAAGAGGTTAGCTAAACTGCAGCAGAACTTTTACTAACAGCCAACTGCATCCTGTAAAGGGCAGTGAAACTGATTTTGGGAGCCAATTCCATGACCCCAGCACTACTGAAAACATAATCACACAACCTCTTCTGAAATTACCAAGTGCCTGTATGAATTATTTGTAATGTTTATGAGTTTAAAGTATAAACTTTAATACAAAAGTCTAAAAAATATAGAAACTATTATTATTATTAATATTATGATGCAGAGTCTTAGCTTAGAGAATAATTTCTGAAAATAAAGGAATAATATTCCTTATTTTGTTTGAAATTTTTGCTAAGTGCCATTAGAAATTTGAGCTAGCACTCTTTAGATAGTTCTTTAGTCAATATCCAGAGTTCTTCTATTGTCAAATGAATTCTTTTGCTGGATGTTTTTTCCCTCCAGACGTTAAGTAGATGATTAGAATTACTGTTGTTGTTATTGTCCATGAACGGATAGAGAGAGCATTTGCTTTTCACATGATTAAAACTGCCCCAAGAAAAAGTTAGACATACTTTTGTGATGAAGTACACAGCTGGGAAAGTTCTAATGTTTGCCACATCCAAGGGTCCTGATCAAATGCCCATTGAGGTTAACACAGAGACTTCCTTTGACTTCCCTGGGCTATGAATCTGGCTTAGGATGAATGATCTTGTCTTGGACAAAGCCGAAACAAAGAGGGGAAGAAAAGAAAATGTGTGAAAATGAAGCTCAGCTGTCAGAGGAGCCACTCTGCTTGGAGGCTCTGACCCAGCTCCCAAGGAAGTCAACAGAAAGGGTTGTTTTTTCTTCCCTGCTCTGGCCTATGCTGCCACATTACTGAAGCTCTCTAACTTTTTTCCCCTCTGACTATGTACACTGCCTGTATAAGGACTGTCCACTGCTTTCATTTTCTTTCTGCACTTGGTTGGCTAAAGATGCATAATTATCACCAGTTTGCTGCACTTCTATGGAAGGTCCCAAAACTGTCACTAGGAAGAAAACTGCCTCTGCCTCTGGCATGCTTTTGCTGTCCCATGCCCCTGATACCTGTACCCTCCTTTTCCCAAATGGAACATTTCACCTTTATTTTGTTTCACCAAGAAATGAGTTGTTTGTTTGTTTCTTTGGTTTGTTTTGGATTGCTTTTGAAGGTTAAGAAAGGGGAAGAAAAAGAGGAGAAAATTGGTTGTGTAGGTCAAACATAACCTGAAAATGAGGATTTCAGGCTCAGAAACAACATAGTCTTTTCAAGCATTTCAAAGCAGTTTTTTCCTCTTCACAGGGAAGACAGGTTTTGTTTGGTTTTTAATTTTTTTTTTTCTGTGAATACTGTGGCACTATCTATCCAGCACTTTTTCTTTAAAGACTTAAAGGGCAAAAAGAACCTCTATCCAAGTCAAGCAGATAAGGTAACTGCATATTTCATCTAAAAGCTGAAGGCAGGATTGGGAATAGGAAATGCTCTTATTATTTTCGATATTTGTCCTTTGGAGCTTTTGTCACAGCATTTGTTTTGAGTGCCTACACAGTACAAAACAGAGTCCACTCAGACTGAGTTCCATGATAGGTACCTTTAGATAGGATATAGGTATAGATCCTGAAAGAGGAGTTTTAAATAACCTTTAAGGGTGGTATTTTTCCATATGACCTTTACTTGTGTGAGCAGTTCCATTTGGAACCTCTTGTCAGCTGCTGCAGAGAGACTCAGTGCTGAAGAACAAAGCCTAGAAGCTCTGCAAGTAGGATTTATTCAGATTATCATTATCTGGTCATTTTGGTTTTTTCCTAAAAAAAAAAAAAAAAAAAAAAAACCCAGGAGTTGTTTTTTTAGCCATAAATTCAGTGTATACCATGGGTCTGTGCAGTTGTTACTTGATCTTTACTTGCTAGCTCTGGACCTTTACCCAAAATCTTGATTTCAAAGTTTTTCCACTGTTGTTACTAACTGCTGTTGAGCTGACTGACACAGCTTTTATTTATTTAGTTACTTGTTTTATCTTTTGGTGAGACATGAAAAAGAAACCCAACAAAACCACAAAACAAACTGTACTGTGCTGATCAACCTTTTTCCCCTCCTTTAGGAGTGAAATGTTGTAGTTAACTTTGCTTTTTTTCCCTCCTTCTTCACTTCCCTGTCTCTGCTGTTCTAGTGGATATATGGTCTGTGGGATGCATTATGGGAGAAATGGTTCGCCACAAAATCCTCTTTCCAGGAAGGGACTGTATCCTTGTGCCATTTGCTGCAGCTTCACCTATTATTTGTTCCTCTTCTCCACCCCATCCCTTTTACCATAAAATGACTATACCAGGAGTGTAAAGATAGAAGCAGAAAGTTGAATCCCAGAGGTATGGCTAAATGAAAATAGCACACTACTGATATGCACAAAATTGAAAATGAAAAACAGATGCACAGAATTATTTCAGTCATTTAAATTACTCTAAAGCCTGTAATCATTCCATTTTATATACTATTTATGTCAATAAGCAATATAGAAAACAAGCATTATGAAGGCAAATTGGACAGCTTTATTTACGATTCTTCAAAGGAAAAATAAGAAAAAAGTCCTAATTTGGCCCATCTCATTCCTGTAAATCTGTTTTTCTGCTTTTATGTTTTGGAAATATTGACTTCATAACATTTGTGGTGACATCATAATCTTTTGCTTGCTAATGCATCATGGTTTTGGATTCATCTCAATGCTGTATGGGCTCAGTGTTGAGTCAATACAACATTTTTCTTTTTCTTTAAAACAAAATTAGGAATTCGACTCACCCAGTTTAAGACAACTGTTTTTCTGCTGTGGTTTCCAAATTGGCCTGAAATCAGATTCTCTTGACTGAAAAATGAACTTCCCTTTACTTGCATGAGGTCTGTGTTGTCAATTAAACGATATTTCCCTCCCATCTTGTTCTTCTTGTCTTGGGTGATATTATTTTTACCCCCTCCCAAGGTGGTGAAAGCAATATTAGAAAATGAAAACAAAAGAGGAGGTGTCTGCTTAGCCTCCTGTTTATCACAGGCTAAACCTGCCCGTGCTGGCTTGGAAATACAAGTAAGTGTGTTTTGCCCATCAGAATAAAGTAAGGCAATATAACATCTCTTCACTTTTGGAAACAAAAAGGCATCTTATTTTCAGCTAGTTGGCAGAAAGGCACCATGAAAATCTGGCATCAGCAGCCACAGGCAGTTGGTGTGAAGAAAATCCAGCTTTCACAGACATGCAGCCATGGAAGCAATTATTTTTTTGCTGACTTTTGAGTAATTCCTGTCATGTTTGTCAAAGTTGGGTCCTGCCTGTCCTGTTTTCACAGCTCTGTCAACTTCCTCTGAGAGCTGAGCTCTGCTTGGTGGCCCAGTGAAGATGCAGTTCTTCACCACTAACAGGGAGATGGAGGGACAGCAGAACCCTCCTGTTTGCTGAGGGAGTGACAGCAGCACTTTACTGCTTCCAGTCTTATAGGAACAGGGGCTGGAAAGTTATTGCTTGCAAAACAAGGCAGAGAGGTTAAAATGGTGATTTTTTTTTTTTTATTAGTAGTTAGCTTTGAGATGCTTAGCGGTGCTGAGCTGTCCCTGCAGCCTGAGGAGCAGGCTGCACACCCACCTTCAGCTGTAACCTCGAAGTTCAGAGCAGCTCCCAGCATTCCCAAGATCTGTTATTCAGTGTGATAGTTATGATGTGTTTCAGTGGTAACACCACTTCAGAAACACCATCATAATGATTCCCCCAAACAATGCACTCTTTTCCTCTTCAAAACAAAACAAAACAAAAAAACCCCAACAAAAATAAAAGAAAAACTAAACTATCCATAATAGACTTGAGGTTCAGCTGTAAATACTGAGGATATTTTCATTTAATCTCTTCTGAGTGAAGTCTGAGATTTTAGTTGATAAGCAGCTAGAATTCATACAAAGAATGGTTTCAGGATAAAAGCATAATAACGTGGTTAATGGGTTGCTCTCCTTTTTCAACAGCAAATTAGG